CATAAAAAGCTATTTTTTTTAATGTTAAAACTTAAATTACTTTCTGGTAAAATATAGGTCTATTTTAAGGCTTTGATAATGTCTATTTTTAAATTACTTTCACTTATTAAACTTCACATATGGCCTTAATGTCTGAAACGTTTCACTACTTTATTGAACGTTTTCCTTAAAGCCATATTAATGGTTTTAAATTTATTTATATATTTGTTTGTTTAATTTTTCTTTTGCAAAAAAAGGCAAAACAAACAATAATATGAAAGAAAAAATCCATAACAATCTTCTAATGAATAAAAAACATCTTCATTTTTAAAGTTAATAGAAAAATAAACAAAACTGAAGGAGAATAAAAGGTTTTAAAATGTCTTTGGTCCTTTTCTGTTGTCGTCTCTACGAAAGCAATAAATCTACTAGTATGTTTAAGTCATATTTTATGTCTATAAAACTGGGTCCTTTTTTTTAGCAATAATAGTGGGAAGATGCTAGTGGCAGAATAAATATCATATCCTGTTAAACATGCCCAACAATAATGTTAAGTCTATTGAAATCTCTATGGTTGTCCGTCCATCTGTCTGCGTAGCTTAAAAATACAGCAGAACTAATGTATTGACATGTGTAAGAAATTGATTTTGTTGTTTTAAGGGGGAGTTGTCTCCCTTAGAACTTGGATTTAATACATTTGATATATTAAAGAGTAGAAAAAACTAAAGAATTTCTTTAGTTCTGTTGGTCTTACAAGGACATTAATCTCCCTGTTTATTTTTTAAGCGTAACAGCACATTGATACATCAACAACAGGGTGTCGTTTAAGTCATCAACATCATCATTATCATCATCAACAATGCTTGTGAGTTGAACAACAGCAGTTTGTGCAAGTGTGTATGTGTATGTGGGAGTTGTAACGGGGCTTTCGCCATTTGTTTGCTAAACATCTATGTGTGTGTGTTACGGTTATTCTTTTTTCATATGTATGTATGTGTTAGAGAGTGAATGACTGACATGTGTGTTTCTTATATTTTTAGTTCAATTTTCAAAACCTTGAATTAATGATGTCAATTTGTTGTTGCTGTTATTTACTTTGTTTTTGTTTATTTTACATGAAAAAATCAAAATAGAAAATGTAGTTTTCTTGTTAAAATTTGTATCTAACTATTGGATATATTTCTGGAAAAACAATTGTGTTAGACAACTTTAATAAGGTCAAGGTAAAATATCTTTTAAAACAAGGTAAAATAACTACATACTGTCATTCTATGATTATAACTAGGCTAAAGTCTAGTCTATACATATTATAGTTTATAGTCTAGTCTATATTCTCATCTATAGTCACTCTTTATTGTCTTGTCTGTTCGAGTCTATACTAAAAGCTGTAGTCTAGTTCAGTTCTAGTTCTAGTTTAGTTCTAGTTCAGTTCTAGTTCAGTTCTAGTTCAGTTCTAGTTCAGTTCTAGTTCAGTTCTAGTTCAGTTCTAGTTCAGTTCTAGTTCAGTTCTAGTTCAGTTCTAGTTCAGTTCTAGTTCAGTTCTAGTTCAGTTCTAGTTCAGTTCTAGTTCAGTTCTAGTTCAGTTCTAGTTCAGTTCTAGTTCAGTTCTAGTTCAGTTCTAGTTCAGTTCTAGTTCAGTTCTAGTTCAGTGCTAGTTCAGTTCTAGTTCAGTTCTAGTTCAGTTCTAGTTCAGTTCTAGTTCAGTTCTAGTTCAGTTCTAGTTCAGTTCTAGTTCAGTTCTAGTTCAGTTCTAGTTCAGTTCTAGTTCAGTTCTAGTTCAGTTCTAGTTCAGTTCTAGTTCAGTTCTAGTTCAGTTCTAGTTCAGTTCTAGTTCAGTTCTAGTTCAGTTCTAGTTCAGTTCTAGTTCAGTTCTAGTTCAGTTCTAGTTCAGTTCTAGTTCAGTTCTAGTTCAGTTCTAGTTCAGTTCTAGTTCAGTTCTAGTTCAGTTCTAGTTCAGTTCTAGTTCAGTTCTAGTTCAGTTCTAGTTCAGTTCTAGTTCAGTTCTAGTTCAGTTCTAGTTCAGTTCTAGTTCAGTTCTAGTTCAGTTCTAGTTCAGTTCTAGTTCAGTTCTAGTTCAGTTCTAGTTCAGTTCTAGTTCGGTTCAGTTCTAGTTCAGTTCTAGTTCAGTTCTAGTTCAGTTCTAGTTCAGTTCTAGTTCAGTTCTAGTTCAGTTCTAGTTCAGTTTCTAGTTCAGTTCTAGTTCAGTTCTAGTTCAGTTCTAGTTCAGTTCTAGTTCAGTTCTAGTTCAGTTCTAGTTCAGTTCTAGTTCAGTTCTAGTTCAGTTCTAGTTCAGTTCTAGTTCAGTTCTAGTTCAGTTCTAGTTCAGTTCTAGTTCAGTTCTAGTTCAGTTTCTAGTTCAGTTCTAGTTCAGTTCTAGTTCAGTTCTAGTTCAGTTCTAGTTCAGTTCTAGTTCAGTTCTAGTTCAGTTCCAGTTCAGTTCTAGTTCAGTTCTAGTTCAGTTCTAGTTCAGTTCTAGTTCAGTTCTAGTTCAGTTCTAGTTCAGTTCTAGTTCAGTTCTAGTTCAGTTCTAGTTCAGTTCTAGTTCAGTTCTAGTTCAGTTCTAGTTCAGTTCTAGTTCAGTTCTAGTTCAGTTCTAGTTCAGTTCTAGTTCAGTTCTAGTTCAGTTCTAGTTCAGTTCTAGTTCAGTTCTAGTTCAGTTCTAGTTCAGTTCTAGTTCAGTTCTAGTTCAGTTCTAGTTCAGTTCTAGTTCAGTTTCTAGTTCAGTTCTAGTTCAGTTCTAGTTCAGTTCTAGTTCAGTTCTAGTTCAGTTCTAGTTCAGTTCTAGTTCAGTTCTAGTTCAGTTCTAGTTCAGTTCTAGTTCAGTTCTAGTTCAGTTCTAGTTCAGTTCTAGTTCAGTTCTAGTTCAGTTCTAGTTCAGTTCTAGTTCAGTTCTAGTTCAGTCTAGTTCAGTTCTAGTTCAGTTCTAGTTCAGTTCTAGTTCAGTTTAGTTCAGTTCTAGTTCAGTTCTAGTTCAGTTCTAGTTCAGTTCTAGTTCAGTTCTAGTTCAGTTCTAGTTCAGTTCTAGTTCAGTTCTAGTTCAGTTCTAGTTCAGTTCTAGTTCAGTTCTAGTTCAGTTCTAGTTCAGTTCTAGTTCAGTTCTAGTTCAGTTCTAGTTCAGTTCTAGTTCAGTTCTAGTTCATTTGTTGTCCAGTTCTAGTTCAGTTCTAGTTCAGTTCTAGTTCAGTTCTAGTTCAGTTCTAGTTCAGTTCTAGTTCAGTTCTAGTTCAGTTCTAGTTCATTTGTTGTCCAGTTCTAGTTCATTTGTTGTCCAGTTCTGGTTCAGTTCTAGTTCAGTTCTAGTTCAGTTCTAGTTCAGTTCTAGTTCAGTTCTAGTTCAGTTCTAGTTCAGTTCTAGTTCAGTTCTAGTTCAGTTCTAGTTCAGTTCTAGTTCAGTTCTAGTTCAGTTCTAGTTCAGTTCTAGTTCAGTTCTAGTTCAGTTCTAGTTCAGTTCTAGTTCAGTTCTAGTTCAGTTCTAGTTCAGTTCTAGTTCAGTTCTAGTTCAGTTCTAGTTCAGTTCTAGTTCAGTTCTAGTTCAGTTCTAGTTCAGTTCTAGTTCAGTTCTAGTTCAGTTCTAGTTCAGTTCTAGTTCAGTTCTAGTTCAGTTCTAGTTCAGTTCTAGTTCAGTTCTAGTTCAGTTCTAGTTCAGTTCTAGTTCAGTTCTAGTTCAGTTCTAGTTCTTCTAGTTCAGTTCTAGTTCTGTTCTAGTTCAGTTCTAGTTCTAGTTCAGTTCTAGTTCAGTTTAGTTCAGTTCTAGTTCAGTTCTAGTTCAGTTCTAGTTCAGTTCTAGTTCAGTTCTAGTTCAGTTCTAGTTCAGTTCTAGTTCAGTTCTAGTTCAGTTCAGTTCTAGTTCAGTTCTAGTTCAGTTCTAGTTCAGTTCTAGTTCAGTTCTAGTTCAGTTCTAGTTCAGTTCTAGTTCAGTTCTAGTTCAGTTCTAGTTCAGTTCTAGTTCAGTTCTAGTTCAGTTCTAGTTCAGTTCTAGTTCAGTTCTAGTTCAGTTCTAGTTCAGTTCTAGTTCAGTTCTAGTTCAGTTCTAGTTCAGTTCTAGTTCAGTTCTAGTTCAGTTCTAGTTCAGTTCTAGTTCAGTTCTAGTTCAGTTCTAGTTCAGTTCTAGTTCAGTTCTAGTTCAGTTCTAGTTCAGTTCTAGTTCAGTTCTAGTTCAGTTCTAGTTCAGTTCTAGTTCAGTTCTAGTTCAGTTCTAGTTCAGTTCTAGTTCAGTTCAGTTCAGTTCTAGTTCAGTTCTAGTTCAGTTCTAGTTCAGTTCTAGTTCAGTTCTAGTTCAGTTCTAGTTCAGTTCTAGTTCAGTTCTAGTTCAGTTCTAGTTCAGTTCTAGTTCAGTTCTAGTTCAGTTCTAGTTCAGTTCTAGTTCAGTTCTAGTTCAGTTTTAGTCCAGTTCTGGTTCAATTTAATTATAGTTTTTAATCCTTAGTCTATAGTCCTATCTCAAAACTGGCCTAGATTGTCTTGCCTACTTAAATGGGTTACTTAACAATATTTATGTGGCCTACTTTTAGGTCGTGATTAAAAAACATTTAATTTTGTATATTTGGTCCCATAATAAATTACTTTCCACTTATAATTATTATAAGCTTTTAAATGTTCACTGCACATCCTGTTTAGAATTTATTATTTCCCCATTTATTAGCAATTTCAATTTGAAAACGTGTTGTAATCAAAACTCAAAATCATGTCTAAATTTCTAATAAGCTAGAGTATTTATTTGAAAATAATTTTTAGTATTTTTTTAACATATTAAAAGCTCTCACTTGTATACATTGGCATAAGACATGTTTTACAAGAGCAATAAAAATTGAAATAAAAAATTTAAAACCAAATTTAAATAACTTTTGTCCTGTTGCCTGTCGTGTGTCCTGTTCTGGCCATAACACAAATTTCTATATTTATTTCCCTAACAAGTCACAGCAAATAAAGAGAGTTTGTTTCCATTTCCTGGTATATTTCTGCGTTTTTTTTTTTCAAATAATTTTTGTTATTTTCTCTACTACAGTTTATTGTTAATAAACTTACCGTTTTAAATCTGGACTTGCTGTGTATGGCGCCGAGACTTCCTTAATTTTCAACACTATTATGGCGGTAATAAAAATGCAAATCACATTCACCACCGTCAACAGACACGACACAATGCCATTGATCAAAAATTCCGTTGGCAAATAGTCTGTGTAGAGGAATGGATATGCCGACGTTTCATTATATAATTCTCCCTTTATGTGCGGTATACGAGTGCCAGGATAAATAAGCCAAATACACGCTAAAGCCCAAAATAGACCCTGTCAAAAGATATAATAATAAAATAAGACACCGAAGTGAAAAAAGAAAATATTATTTATAAATAAGAAAAGTGAAGAAATAAATAAAATGTTACAAGGAAATTAAATGAAAATTTAAAAGTCCTGCAAAGACGCATGAATAGCAATGAAATATGAATTTGTAATAAATGAATTTTATTTCCAATGTTTTTGCTTTTTTTTTTTTTTTTTGATGATGCTTCAGAAATAAATAAGGACCTTTTTACATGTTATTTATTTATATGTCTTTATTAAGAGGGAAGTCTAAAGATTTTAGATTTTATTACTTTACTTTTCTCGGAATTTGTCAATAACAATGACTCATACAATATTTAGGAAATTGATGAATTTAAACATTAAAGAAAACAAACCCTAAATATTGAAAAACTGAAAAGACGAGACATAAACTAGACTGAAGACTAGACAATAGACTAGACTATAGACTAGACTATAGACTAGACTATAGACTAGACTATAGACTAGACTATAGACTAGACTATAGACTAGACTATAGACTAGACTATAGACTAGATTATAGACTAGACTGTAGACTAGACTATAGACTAGACTATAGACTAGACTATAGACTAGACTATAGACTAGACTATAGACTAGATTATAGACTAGACTATAGACTAGGCTATAGACTAGACTATAGACTAGACTATAGACTAGACTATAGACTAGACTATAGACTAGACTATAGACTAGACTATAGACTAGACTATAGACTAGACTATAGACTAGACTATAGATTAGACTATAGACTAGACTATAGACTAGACTATAGACTAGACTATAACTAGACTATAGACTAGACTATAGACTAGACTATAGACTAGAATATAGACTAGACTATAGACTAGACTATAGACTAGACTATAGACTAGGCTATAGACTAGACTATAGACTAGACTATAGACTAGACTATAGACTAGACTATAGACTAGACTATAGACTAGACTATAGACTAGACTATAGATTAGACTATAGACTAGACTATAGACTAGACTATGGACTAGACTATAGACTAGACTATAGACTAGACTATAGACTAGACTATAGACTAGACTATAGACTAGACTATAGACTAGACTATAGACTAGACTATATAGACTATAGACTAGACTATAGACTAGACTATAGACTAGACTATAGACTAGACTATAGTCTAAACTGTATACTAAGCTTTAGACTAGACTATAGCATGAACTAGGTCATAGTCTAGACTGCAGAGCTACTTTCTTTACAATTTGTTTCTTAAACTTTAAATTTAGTTATTTTTGCACTTAAGTTTCTTTCTTTGACCTCATACTAAGCTATGCAACACTTTTTTGAAATTTTCTAGGAGAACATTAAAAATTTTCTCTTTTAAAAAGCATGTTTTCGTAACCAAAATTTAAACAAACATTGTGGCCTTAAATAATTTCATAATTTATTATCAAAACACACATCCTTAAACATGTTCAAATACATTAAAAAAGAAGAAGACCAAAAGCCAAGAGACACAAAAACAACTAAAGTGTGAACACAAAGTAAAAAAAGCACAACAAACCAACATTGAAAACATACCAACAAATCCTTAATAATAACAAATGACAGAGAGCAGGACATACACTCGCATATGCACACACACATACATACTTACTTATACACAAACACGAAAAGACAAAAAATCACAATTAATTGTATGGCTGCTTTAAACAAGTTCTTAAAACAAAGTAGCTGAGAAGAAGAAGGGGTTTTTCATTTACTCAGGCAGACAGACATTTTGATAGGAAGAGGGTAAATTCCAAAAGGAAGAAACTATTTTTTCGTTAGGATTTGTTTGTGTTTTTCTTGGTAATTTTGGCTTTTGTGGTGTGATTTATTAGAAAAGCTAAAAAAAAACTAATAACAATAGTACATAGTAAAAAAGCTTTACTTTATAGAGGAAAACAAGGCCTCTTTAATGTGAATCCTATGCCCCATTCTCTGTCTCTACTTTTAGCGTACATAATTATATGTATATCTAACCATTTTTATATTTAGTTTGACTGATTGTTTTTGTTATTGCTAAGAAAAAAAAAAGCACCACATTTACCATGATTAAGTGTTTTTAACGCCATTGTTTTCTAAGTTTCGTACTTGTTGTTGCCATTTTCATATGAAAAGTAATAGAGCGCGACACTTAGTGGCTACTTTACACATTACAAGACATTATAAAACCAACAAATCCAATTTGTTAAGGCCAACAATGATTTCTAATGCTGCCTTTCTGTTTTGTATTTCCTTTATCATGTTCTTTGACCATAATTTTTGTTTTGATAGAAAAGGAAATATTTCATTTTGACTGCTCATGCCTGTTTTTTGCTCGCTCTCTGTGATTTGGTTTGATAAATGTAAAGTTCTTAATGCCACTTTCCCAGAAGCAGGGACAAATACTAAATATGTAAGTCTACCATAAAAAGAGCTAAAATTTAAATAAAAGTTATGTAGGCTATAGATTAGACTATCGACTAGATATATAGACTAGACTAGACTATAGACTATAGACTAGACTATAGACTAGACTATAGACTATAGACTAGACTATAGACTAGACTATAGACGAGACTATAGACTAGACTATAGACTAGACTATAGACTAGACTATAGACTAGACTATAGACTAGACTATAGACTAGACTATAAACTAGACTATAGACTAGACTATAGACTAGACTATAGACTAGACTATAGACTAGACTATAGACTAGACTATAGACTAGACTATAGACTAGACTATACTAGACTAGACTATAGACTAGACTATAGACTAGACTATAGACTAGACTATAGACTAGACTATAGACTAGACTATAGACTAGACTATAGACTAGACTATAGACTAGACTATAGACTAGACTATAGACTAGACTATAGACTAGACTATAGACTAGACTATAGACTAGACTATAGACTAGACTATAGACTAGACTATAGACTACTATACACTAGACTATAGACTAGACTATAGACTAGACTATAGACTTGACTATAGACTAGACTATAGACTAGACTATAGACTAGACTATAGACTAGACTATAGACTAGACTATAGACTAGACTATAGACTAGACTATAGACTAGACTATAGACTAGATAGACTAGACTATAGACTAGACTATAGACTAGACTATAGACTAGACTATAGACTAGACTATAGACTAGACTATAGACTAGACTATAGACTAGACTATAGACTAGACTATAGACTAGACTATAGACTAGACTATAGACTAGACTATAGACTAGACTATAGACTAGACTATAGACTAGACTATAGATTAGACTATAGACTAGAATATAGACTATACTATAGACTAGACTATAGACTAGACTATAGACTAGACTATAGACTAGACTATAGACTAGACTATAGACTAGACTATAGACTAGACTATAGACTAGACTATAGACTAGACTATAGACTAGACTATAGACTAGACTATAGACTAGACTATAGACTAGACTATAGACTAGACTATAGACTAGACTATAGACTAGACTATAGACTAGACTATAGACTAGACTATAGACTAGACTATAGACTAGACTATAGACTAGACTATAGACTAGACTATAGACTAGACTATAGACTAGACTATAGACTAGACTATAGACTAGACTATAGACTAGACTATAGACTAGACTATAGACTAGACTATAGACTAGACTATAGACTAGACTATAGACTAGACTATAGACTTGACTATAGACTTGACCATAGACTAGACTATAGACTAGACTATAGACTAGATTATAGACTTGACTGTAGACTAGACTATAGACTAGACTATAGACTAGACTATAGACTAGACTATATTTTTGACTATAGAATTGACTATAGACTTGACTATAGACTAGACTATAGACTAGACTATAGACTAGACTATAGACTAGACTATAGACTAGACTATAGACTAGACTATAGACTAGACTATAGACTAGACTATAGACTAGACTATAGACTAGACTATAGACTAGACTATAGACTAGACTATAGACTAGACTATAGACTAGACTATAGACTAGACTATAGACTAGACTATAGACTAGACTATAGACTAGACTATAGACTAGACTATAGACTAGACTATAGACTAGACTATAGACTAGACTATAGACTAGACTATAGACTAGACTATAGATTAGACTATAGACTAGAATATAGACTACTATAGACTAGACTATAGACTAGACTATAGACTAGACTATAGACTAGACTATAGACTAGACTATAGACTAGACTATAGACTAGACTATAGACTAGACTATAGACTAGACTATAGACTAGACTATAGACTAGACTATAGACTAGACTATAGACTAGACTATAGACTAGACTATAGACTAGACTATAGACTAGACTATAGACTAGACTATAGACTAGACTATAGACTAGACTATAGACTAGACTATAGACTAGACTATAGACTAGACTATAGACTAGACTATAGACTAGACTATAGACTAGACTATAGACTAGACTATAGACTAGACATAGACTAGACTATAGACTAGACTATAGACTAGACTATAGACTAGACTATAGACTATAGACTAGACTATAGACTAGACTATAGACTAGACTATAGACTAGACTATAGACTAGACTATAGACTTGACTATAGACTTGACCATAGACTAGACTATAGACTAGACTATAGACTAGATTATAGACTTGACTGTAGACTAGACTATAGACTAGACTATAGACTAGACTATATTTTTGACTATAGAATTGACTATAGACTAGACTATAATTTTTGTTCAAAATTTTCTTTTGAAAATTTCTTTCCGTTTATTTTTAATAAAGTTTCATGATGTTTCATAATAATAAATTAGAACAGCTGTAAATTACTTTTAAATGGCTTTTATTTCAAAACTATAAGTTATTTTACATTTATTATACAAATTTGTAACAGTTTATCATTTATTTGCTGTTTTTAAAGCAAACGAAAAAAACAGAAATGTTTTTATATTAAAATAAATATATTGTGACAGATTTATTGCATAAAGTTCTTTTTTAGGTTATTAGTATGTATACTCAACTATAGTTATAGTTTAAGCCATTTTAAAACTGTTTTGACAAAGACTGCAGTGAATAGAGTGCATTAAAGTTTTAGAGCAACAAATACTGTTTGGGAAAAAAAGGGAAATTTAAAGAAATTTAAGAATAAATGTGATAAAAATAACTTTTTAAAAAATTTTTGTTTGTATGAATGAGAAATATTTATATACAAGAGAAGGCAGGAGCAACTTCTTAATAAAAACTAAGAAGAAGGGATATTTTTAAATTTTTGTTTAAAAGATTACTGGAGCGTATGATTAATATTAATTATGATATGGTTTTATAAAAAGCTTATAACTTTATAGTTATAAATGCTATAATAAAAATTTAAATTGCGTTTTAAAGATCACATTCCCCAAATACTAAAAAATAAATTAATTAACGGCAAAAGTATTGAAAACATTGATACCAAAGCTCTTTTTGTTTAACAATTAAAATATCTACTTACACAATTAACGACGGGTGGCAAAAGTGAAGCCGATATGGCCACACCAATTAAAGGACCAGCTGAACCCTGTAATAAAGCCACTGCCACACCAGTGCCAGAAGTCAAGGCCCACAAAACACCCATCCACAAAGAGCGAGCATTGCCTCTGTAAGGGAAAAAATTTTAACAGAATATGAAACAATGTATATAAGCAAAACAAAAAATCTTTTTTAAAAGATAAATAAAATTTATAACTTGATGAACAAAAAGAAAGCCATCCACCAGACAAAAAACAAAAAAAAATATTAATGTTTACAAGGCATTAATAAAATTAACATGATGCCTAAACACATTCATATTTTCAAAAAGACTGCCTTGCTTTCAGCTAGTAGGAGCGCTGTGCCAACAAAATTAAAAAAAAAATTTAAATGAAAATAAATTTTCAAGAATTTTGTGGCCTGTCGCTTTGTGCATTTCGCTTTTTTTTCTGTCATTACAGGCAAATGACACCAACAACTGAGAGCATGTTTGTGGCAGAGAGGTAGAAGAAAAATCTGTAGACCTAAACAAATTTTCTTTTGGTTAGACAAAAGAAAATAAAATTTTTTAAAGCTGTGTCACAAACTGTGGGTGAATTTGCAAATATTTTCATATTAAGTCATCAGTTATTAGGAAATATGATGACGTGTGAGGTTTTCTTTAAAGGAAACAGGCAAGAAAAATTTAGTACTTTAGTATTTTACTACGATAAAATTTTGACAGGCCTTATATTATATAGTCTATAGCCCCATATATAAGGACAGTACATAAGCCCAGTATATAGTCTAGTCTATGGTCTAGTCTATAGTTTAGTCTATGGTCTGGTCTATAGTCTAGTCTATAGTCTAGTCTATAGCTTAGTCTATAGTCTAGTCTATAGTTTAGTCTATAGTTTAGTCTATAGTCTAGTCTATAGTCTAGTCTAAAGTCTAGTCTACAGTCTAGTCTATAGTCTAGTCTATAGTCTAGTCTATAGTCTAGTCTATAGTCTAGTCTATAGTCTAGTCTATAGTCTAGTCTATAGTCTAGTCTATAGTCTAGTCTATAGTCTAGTCTATAGTCTAGTCTATAGTCTAGTCTATAGTCTAGTCTATAGTCTAGTCTATAGTCTAGTCTATAGTCTAGTCTATAGTCTAGTCTATAGTCTAGTCTATAGTCTAGTCTATAGTCTAGTCTATAGTCTAGTCTATAGTCTAGTCTATAGTCTAGTCTATAGTCTAGTCTATAGTCTAGTCTATAGTCTAGTCTATAGTCTAGTCTATAGTCTAGTCTATAGTCTGGTCTCTAGTCTAGTCTATAGTCTAGTCTATAGTCTGGTCTCTAGTCTAGTCTATAGTCTAGTCTATAGTCTAGTCTATAGTCTAGTCTATAGTCTAGTCTATAGTCTAGTCTATAGTCTAGTCTATAGTCTAGTCTATAGTCTAGTCTATAGTCTAGTCTATAGTCTAGTCTATAGTCTAGTCTATAGTCTAGTCTATAGTCTAGTCTATAGTCTAGTCTATAGTCTAGTCTATAGTCTAGTCTATAGTCTAGTCTATAGTCTAGTCTATAGTCTAGTCTATAGTCTAGTCTATAGTCTAGTCTATAGTCTAGTCTATAGTCTAGTCTATAGTCTAGTCTATAGTCTAGTCTATAGTCTAGTCTATAGTCTAGTCTATAGTCTAGTCTATAGTCTAGTCTATAGTCTAGTCTATAGTCTAGTCTATAGTCTAGTCTATAGTCTAGTCTATAGTCTAGTCTATAGTCTAGTCTATAGTCTAGTCTATAGTCTAGTCTATAGTCTAGTCTATAGTCTAGTCTATAGTCTAGTCTATAGTCTAGTCTATAGTCTAGTCTATAGTCTAGTCTATAGTCTAGTCTATAGTCTAGTCTATAGTCTAGTCTATAGTCTAGTCTATAGTCTAGTCTATAGTCTAGTCTATAGTCTAGTCTATAGTTAGTCTATAGTCTAGTCTATAGTCTAGTCTATAGTCTAGTCTATAGTCTAGTCTATAGTCTAGTCTATAGTCTAGTCATAGTCTAGTCTATAGTCTAGTCTATAGTCTAGTCTATAGTCTAGTTCTATAGTCTAGTCTATAGTCTAGTCTATAGTCTAGTCTATAGTCTAGTCTATAGTCTAGTCTATAGTCTAGTCTATAGTCTAGTCTATAGTCTAGTCTATAGTCTAGTCTATAGTCTAGTCTATAGTTCTAGTCTATAGTCTAGTCTATAGTCTAGTCTATAGTCTAGTCTATAGTCTAGTCTATAGTCTAGTCTATAGTCTAGTCTATAGTCTAGTCTATAGTCTAGTCTATAGTCTAGTCTATAGTCCTAGTCTATAGTCTAGTCTATAGTCTAGTCTATAGTCTAGTCTATAGTTAGTCTATAGTCTAGTCTATAGTCTAGTCTATAGTCTAGTCTATAGTCTATCAGTAGTCTAGTCTATAGTCTAGTCTATAGTCTAGTCTATAGTCTAGTCTATAGTCTAGTCTATAGTCTAGTCTATAGTCTAGTCTATAGTCTAGTCTATAGTCTAGTCTATAGTCTAGTCTATAGTCTAGTCTATAGTCTAGTCTATAGTCTAGTCTATAGTCTAGTCTATAGTCTAGTCTATAGTCTAGTCTATAGTCTAGTCTATAGTCTAGTCTATAGTCTAGTCTATAGTCTAGTCTATAGTCTAGTCTATAGTCTAGTCTATAGTCTAGTCTATAGTCTATGTCTAGTCTATAGTCTAGTCTATAGTCTAGTCTATAGTCTAGTCTATAGTCTAGTCTATAGTCTAGTCTATAGTCTAGTCTATAGTCTAGTCTATAGTCTAGTCTATAGTCTAGTCTATAGTCTAGTCTATAGTCTAGTCTATAGTCTAGTCTATAGTCTAGTCTATAGTCTAGTCTATAGTCTAGTCTATAGTCTAGTCTATAGTCTAGTCTATAGTCTAGTCTATAGTCTAGTCTATAGTCTAGTCTATAGTCTAGTCTATAGTCTAGTCTATAGTCTAGTCTATAGTCTAGTCTATAGTCTAGTCTATAGTCTAGTCTATAGTCTAGTCTATAGTCTAGTCTATAGTCTAGTCTATAGTCTAGTCTATAGTCTAGTCTATAGTCTAGTCTATAGTCTAGTCTATAGTCTAGTCTATAGTCTAGTCTATAGTCTAGTCTATAGTCTAGTCTATAGTCTAGTCTATAGCCTAGTCTATAGTCTAGTCTATAGTCTAGTCTATAGTCTAGTTTATAGCTAGTCTATAGTCTAGTCTATAGTCTAGTCTAGTGCTCCTGGTTATAGTCTATTCTGTGGAAAGTTGTTAGCTTTTTGTCTTAAATTATATACTAAATTTTAATTTCGTACTAAAATTTTAAGTTTGTACTAAATTTTAAATTTGTACTAATTTTCTATATCGTACTTGATTTTTATTTTGTACTAAATTCTCAATTATGGACTTAATATAATTTTATAATTTAAGTACAAAAATAATTATAAGCAATTTTAATTAAAGCACATAATCCCGTAAGCCTTCTGTTTCTAGCTATAGCGTCTTAATCTTCACCATCTGCTACCAGTGAATTACTTTAGTTAATTACTACAACTAGAGTTAATTAAAATATAAATATATGAATACAAAATGTTTGTCTTTCACAAGAAGTCTTTTAAAATAATTACGTTTATTATTAACGGCCTTTTTATATTCATACGACTTTTATAAGCGAAAATAAAAGTGAATTTCCTCTTTGAATTTTTCATCAGGCATTTAACTTTAAACATTTTATGAACTCTTCTTCTTCATTATAAAACGATATGAAAGACGACACTAAATAGCCTGCCGACATTAAAAATATAAAATGCAAATTTTATAATCATCAACAGTTTGTGCTGACGACATTAGGAATTGTTCAGATCATACAACGTGGTCCACGTTATGATGTTGTTGTCGTTGTTTAGTATTGTGTTTGTTAAGTCCTGCTTCATTTTGAAGAAGTTGTATTTGAAATTGTGGATAAAAGTTTTAGAAAAGAACACATTTCTTTAAACAACAAGTATTTAGTTTAAAGTCAGGTATGGGAAATTTAATACCTTTATAATTTCACAGAAGTGAGCTGCAAGATAATGTCTTTTTAAAAATTTAGAAAAAATTAACGAGTTAAAGATCTATAATGACTATAAACGTAAAATTTCCTAAATTTAAATTCCCCACCTCTGACACAAGCACAACAAGATGAACATTTTGTTGTTTTTTCTAAAAGTAAAATAAGAAAAATACCGCTAAACATCAACAACAGCAATGTGGTAGATGTTGATAACAAAATACTGACACTTGACAAAGATTAAAGAGTGTTAAAAACAACCTGGACAAAAAATACAGGCGAGACAAAAAAAAAATATAGAGAAATGAAAAATCTTGAAAGAAAATATATAAAAAGAGGTGTAGAAAAGACCAGCATTTTTATAACAGACAATAAATACCTGTGAGGTGAGAATGGAAGACAGACAGACATACATGCGAAGATAAAAAACATCCAAACAACTATAACATGGAAATGTATAAGAACGCTTGAAATAACATTTAAATTCTGAAACAATAAATTTTTGTACAAACTTTAAAATTTCCTTTTTTTAGAATGTACCATTGAAGCTACAATTTTTGAACAAAATTGGAATTTTTTACATAATTTAAAATTTAAAACCAAATTGAAAACATAGCACAAATTTTCTAAATAGAAAATTTTGCAAAAATCAAGAATTTAGACCAAAAATTGAAATTTTAGTACAAAATTGAAATTTTAGTACAAAATTGAAATTTTAGTACAAAATTGAAATTTAAGTACAAAATTGAAAATTTTAGTACAAAATTGAAAATTTAGCACAAAAAACAATAATTTAGTTCTAAATCATAAATGGAAAATTCAGAACTATAGTACTTTTTGATATCGACAAATAGCGATATTTTCAGTACTTTTTCTAATTTATAAACTCTTGATAAGTAGGCCACATAGTACTCAGTAGACTAGCCTGTAGGCTTTAGTCTAGTCTTTAGTTTAGTCTACAGTTTAATCTATAGTGTAGCCTATGTTCTAGTCTATTGCCTAGTCTATAGTCAAGTTTGTAGTGAAATCTATTGTCTACTTGTAATATCTGATATATTGACTGGTATAT